ACAATGTCCTCCATTTAAACCTATATTAAATAATCGATTCTTGTCGAAGCACCTGGCCCTCTCAAAAATCGATACTTTTCCATGGGTTTAAATGGAGAAAAACAATGTTGCCAATTCGCTGGATCCGCCATGCAGCCGGAGCGTTGATGAAAAATGCAAATAGAATTTACTATTCACAAGTCAGCGCGTGGAGGCATCTCTGAGGTTATGAACCCCTGTCCCGAGGGACTCCTCTTCCAGGATAGAGGATAGAGGTTGACAGTCATCCCTGTCTGGCCCTTGCGTTGTCGTGTCTTGTCGCGTCGGAGCAGCGGTTAATTTTACGAAGGGAAAATTGCGAGGCGCCTGACATTTCGAGCCCGTCGGATCCAGGGCGGCGGCGGCTCCTGGGTTCCACTGGGAATCCAACCGCGTGCCTTGATGTCCTGGTCTGGTGGTCGCGTAAAAGTGAAGCATCCCTCTGCCCGGATTTCGCACGCGTGTGTCTTCTGCCAGACGCGGGATGGGTCACAATGTCGCCGTTTCTCTACCCCAAAGTGTTGGGTAATGGAGTGGGTAAATCGTGATTATTTTTTTTTAATTTTTTAGACGATTTTATACGAATTTTTACCTAAAATATCCGAAGATGTCAGGGAAAAATAAGCACCACTTTCCTCGATAATACTCGTTATATTCGGGGGAAATTTGGCAACTCTCGAATGTTCATACAGCGTTCTTCCTTAGCACGGCAGAGTAGGACTCTACACAGTGTTAAACGATACCAGTCAATTCACGAACGTTAGTGCGCCTTCATTTTCAACTGATACTGTGCAATACTTCCGAGGTGGAATAGTTGCTCTGAGCGCCTTCCAATGATTTGTTTCGACTTGACTGCAGAAGTTCACGATTGCCGCGCGCTGATATTACTTACTCTGTAGCGCGTGTGCAATTACTCACACATTTTCTCATACCGACGACGAAGTAAAAACATTCATACCTCACTTTGCGACGTTGCAAGTTTTTTACCAATTATTTTATTTGGATAATACAGCTGTCGGTTTAATCCAAACTCCAGGAACCCATTTTATTTGAACTGAAGAATGGGGATGTTGCATGTGTGAGGAATTTGCGATTTGACTACTGATTTCTGTGTAAAAGTTCGCGAGAAACACGATGGTGCCACTGGTTTTCTCTGAAATTAACTCCCAAGCTCAAAAAAAGCTCTCAAGTTGAGGCCAAAATGGGGGGGATATCCCACGCTATCCTGAGAGTTCACCTCTACATCAAAACAAACTCTCTGTGCAAAGATAGGGAGCAAACACATTGACAGGGCTGCCACTTTATTTGGGGACTCAAAAACTGAAAAAACGGCAACCCTGATCATGTATGAAACTTATAGGCTGTAGGACGTCAAATTAAATGTACGTAATTAAATTGATATTTTATTATACGTAAAATATTTTAAGCCAGTCTCGAAATATTTCAAAATGAACGACTAAAGTTTCTAAATTGTTATACTATGGAACAGGACATATAATTTACGAGAGTATTCTGCTCAAAATGACATCACGGCTATACCCAGTGAGCGTCGCGTAACGCTACCAGACGAGACTGTAATGAAATCCTGCTTTTCTTGTTCCTTTTGGTGCATAAATCAAAAACATCTAAGCGCTGAACAATGATGAAATGGGAGATCATGTTGTGTGGTGGTTTGTGAGAGGAATTAAATAAAAGTGAAAGAAAAAATACAATGGTTTCGCTAATCTCGGTTATGCCAGGTGGTTTCCAAGGCTGCCAAGCTCTTCGAAGCTGGAAATAATCCTGTTTGCAGGGCTGTATTTTGGAAATATTTGAGTCTTTTCTCTGTATATGTACGCTGGCTCATTTTTCTACTTCGTCCTTGCTGGGCGCCTGCACTATCTCCCAAGCACAATTTTTCTTGAACAATATGAGGCATGAGCTGCTGAGACAACAATTTTTGTGCTCCAACCTTCAGAAGCTGTAGCCTAAGTAACAATGCTCGTGATAAGTTGCAATTTGATCGTAAAATGTATCGCGATCTATGGACGTCGATTTATTGCAATATTATCGGATAGAAAATTGCAATAAGTTGCGATTTCATCAAACAACATCGAAAAATTGCAGTAATCAATAATTGCAGGAATACTTCACACATTGCGCCAAACACAGTACGGTCGCTGGTCGGTGCGAAAAACATATTCGCGCCTACAAAAGTGCGGGAATACTTCACGCATTGCGCCAAACCCATTGCGATCGCCGGACGGCGCCGAAAACATATTAGCGCCTACGAGAGTGCTAGAATACTTCACGCATTGCGCCAAAAACAGTGCGTCCGCTAGTCGACGTGAAACGCTCATTTAGCGTCTACAAGACTGAAGGAATACTTCACGCATTGCGCATTCGCTACAGTGCGCGCGTAAATTAAGCGTTGAAAATTCGTGATATCTTGGTCTCGGTGCCGGACTTAACGATGTCCACACCATTTCCGAGTAGTGTGCACCCCGAGCCTGCAATTGTGATTGCGATAACTTGGAAGTTGACGATTGGGACGTCGATTTATGGCAATATGGTCCGATGAAAAATTGCGATTCCATCACATAATTTGCAATAAAATCGCGATTTTATTGCCAGCAATCTATCGCAATATTATCGAACGAAAATTCGTGATAAATTGAGGTGAAGTGTCTACTTTTTCGAACGCGATATAGAGATAAAATAACAACAAGATCGAGGATAATCGCTCAGATGTTGATGATAATAGCGATTTTTTCGCCAAAAAATCGTGAAAACATTGCGAGTTAAGTTCCAAATATCTCGATTTCTCCTTTGAAATATGCTGCTTGGGGAGAAAGGACAAAAATTGTTGGGAGTAGGTATGAATCACCTGAGGAAATTCTTAACTATACTCTGAAAAAAAAATCTCGGTGTATTTACTAAGAAAAGGGTAAAATTACCAAGAATTCGGGGTTCTATTTGTTCCCAGTTTTTTCTTGGTGAAATTACCATTTATGGAATTGGTAAAATTATTGAACTTTCTCGGTAATTTTACTGGACCTTGGTAAAAACGCCAATATTTTTTATCGACTGTGGTAGGATTACCGAGATAAAATGGCAAAGTTACCGGGAATTGATTACCAATAAAAGTGGTATTCTTACCTGAAAAAACAGTAAAAATACCGGTTTTTAGGTAAGCTTACCAGCCTGTCTTGGTAAAATTACCAAAAATTGGTAAAAAAAGTGAGATGGTAAATGTACCAACGGACCTTGGTAAAAACGCCGGGAATTTTTTTTCAGTGTACTCACAATAATCCACACTAGAAAGCGCCTCCAGACCAATGTTAACATACCTGGGGCGTGCAAAATATTTCGCGTAATAGTTTCTCGTCTGTCATCATACAATGCACACCTGCCTACTCGCTTCTAAATTAGGAAACTGCCTGTGAAATTCATCGGGGGACGGAGTATTTTCTCGAGGGAATTGCAACTTGCTCGTCGCGCGCCACATACGGCTTCCGCAAAGTCTCCCACCTTGGGGCGGAGACTAATCTCGTTAGGCGAAACGAGGGCAATAAAAAATCAACACAGCCCCGAGATCAGATCGCACGGAGCCGGTGGAGAGAGAATGTTCAGCCCTTCGCTTGCTTCGACACCCTCAACTGCAGTAGCGTGGCGTGTTTGCGATTTATCGACTGATCTGCCATTTGAACCTATGGAAAAGGATCGATAGACAAGGTGTTCGCAGCGGACACCTTAATAATCGATTCTTTACTATAGCTTCAAAGGGAGAAATATCGATAATCGATTATTCACGCCTCGTCACCGACTCGAGTACCTACCGACGAGAGCGTCAAGCGACTCCACCCCTTTACAGAACTCAAGTTGTTATTATTGATTGTCATCTGCAATTTTTGAAGCCAATCCACTTTTTTTTTGTTACTTATCAAGCTTGGTCAATTTAAGGAAGTTTTCGTTGAGTTTAGTTCTGATTTTTACAAGAAAAATTGTATCTGTAGGAAAAGAGCACTTGTCTCCAAGGCTTGTGATCAAATTTCAATTTTAAGTTCCTGAAATGGGCAACTGGACAAGTTAGAACTAGAAAAAAAGTCATATTTACCCTCTTTAAAACCTTACGTAAAAAACGAATCACACAACGGAATTTTCAGCTATCAACTCTTTAACATACTAACAACAAGTATTTTTAACACAGATCCAATGGATGTTACAGGTCGTATGGTACAAATGATGTTTTTATTTTTGCCTATTGGTCAATGTAAACCACGAAGAAGGCAAAAAACAAATAATACACTACTATACAGCCTTACGTTGTTACAGCCTTGTTTCAGATCGACAATGGGCTCACGAACAAGATTGAACTTTTCAAGCCCTGAATCTCAAATTGAGTAAAAGTAATGGATAATTTGCACTCAAAAATTGCATTGCTTCATCTGAGAGTGCTTGATGAGCTAATTTCGCAGTAATTTTCATAATTTTTTCTGAAATGGGAATTTGGAGAAAAATGGATTTAAAAGTGAGAAAATTTGCCGCCTTGTGACGTCATCTGGCGGCATTTTCCATTTAAACGCATATATTTTAGCAGATTAGGTTATTTTGTCATATTTTCCCCGATAATTGTCCAATTTAGAATCCAAGGATATCCTCGCACTCAGTTTTCATAGCAGTATCATTTGGACGTATTTCTGTCAAACAGAAGTGTGTGCTTTATGACGTGAGCCCTGTTATGCATGTATTCTTATGGGTCTCAGGGCTCGTGTCTTAATGCACATAGTTCCATTTGATAGAAATACGTCCATTTTAAACATGAAGTTCACAAAATTTAAGACACCTGCAAATTCTCTATTGTCCTAAAATTATTCAAGAAAATGTTTTTTCCTCATTGCCGGAAATTCAAATAAATATGCTGTACCAATTGTACAATTTTTTCTCTAAAATTTTTTTCAGAATTGTTCCGATTTATAATTTGCGACTTTTTTCTGTTTCAGAAAAAAAGTAGAGAGGAGAGTAAAGGCACCGGTAGTGGCGTCGAGATCCTTCTCAACGAACCCTACAACAACGGCCCCGGCGGGAACGGACAGTATACCCTCAAAAGGTATCACATAGGAAATCATCTTCCAGGTGAGTCAAAAGGGTTTTCCTGTTCCTCTCTTCATCGGTCTTTTTACCGCACAATTTTTCATCGGATGTATTCACAGCATCACGTTACGATGAGTTACCGAGATTCTCGGTAAAATTACCAATTCCATAAATGGTAATTTTACCAAGAAAAAACTGGGATCAAATAGAACCCTGAATTCCTGGTAATTTCACCCTTTTTTTAGTAAATACACCGAGATTTTTTTTTTCAGTGTACACCAAACGAAAATCAATTTTTGCGGATCTTCCTGGAAATTAAAAGTTCTCCGAATCGTGAAAAACAAATAGATTCACCACTCATTAACATTCATAAAATCCGTTCTTTCTTATTTACTGCAGGCGTTAAAACTGTAATAAATTCGCAAGTGGGGCAGAAGCTACGGCTCCGGTTTGTCATGCATAAATGCTGATTTATTCTCAACTTTCAGCAGTCAACGTCGGCTGAAACGCTGAAATGAAGCCGGATCAGCGAAAGCGGAAAGATTGTTAACGGGTAAAAAGATTTGGCGCGGTTTGTCTCGTCCAAATCCACCGCTCCGCTACCATAAAGCGCGTATCCGCACAAAATACGAACCCTGCCGCCCGTATAATCCCATACTCCGCAAGGCTCACGTAAAGAAAAAGATACGTGCTTTCGTCGAGGCGACGAAATGGAGCCGAGCCGAGAGCAGGAATACTGCCGTGCTAAGGAAAAACGCCGTATGAACCTCCAGGCGTTGCCAAATTTCCCTTAGTAAATCACGAATTTTCGGGAAATTTTATGAATATTTTTCCTCCAATTTTTCAGATAATTTTGTTCGCAATTTCACCGAAAGTTCCTGAAAAATTCAAGGAAAAATATTCCTAACTTTCCTCAAAAATAAACATTTTATCGAAGGGAATTTGGCAACTCTCGAATGTTCATACGGTGTTCTTCCTTAGCACGGCAGAATAACACAGCTTCGCACGCTAAAACAGAAAAGGCCGCCACAGAGCGTAAGGATAGACGTGTTGGGGGGGGGGGGCGAAACAAAAGACAAACACGGGCGAAAAATCAAAACAAACAGTAGAGAGCGTAAGCTGACGGTTTGACAGGGCTGTTGCCGCCCTGAGCGCGGAATTAGATTTTCAGTTCGATGGAAAACGCGTTTTTCGGCGAGGAACGGCAACAGCGCTCCGCGGTTACCGGCGGAGGTTTGCATAAATGCATAACTCCGCGGCGCAGTGGCTGCATGAAATGCATAAATTTATGCGGATACTTTTTCCCTGTCCTGCGGACTTGAATTTTGGAGGAATATGCCCGGGACCGTATGAAATTTTGCATTTTGTTTGCGGTGGTTTTAAAACAAGGTTGTGAGCATGAAACCACACCGGTGGGGAAATTCAGGGTATTTAAATAATTTGGGAAAGACAGAAATTTTTGGCTGCAGTCGGGGACTTTTTT